CCCCAAAACCCCAAAACCCCTGAACAAAATTAAAAAAGATTAGGGTAAAGACTATATTTCAAACATAATAACTATTGAAATTTATTCAATCATATATCATCGAGTTCTCAAATTAAAATAACAACAGCAATGGAAGAAAGAAAAAGCACAATGAATGTAATCTCTAAAGGTGAATTGTCACAATTGGATTCCTAAATTGACTTGGTTCTTTTGAAGAAAATAGTCAAACAGCAAATGGGAGAAGTTGAGACTTAATTGATTGAGAAGATAAATAAAGAGTTCGATTAAAAACTGAATAATGTAGCTGGAAATATAAAATTGCTAACAAACAAAATGGCACCAATAAATGACTTAATAGCTCTAGGGAATAAACACTACGGAATGAGCATGCAAGATGCTATCAATGAATATGTTCAAGAGAGACTTCTATAGCCAAAATTTGAGGAGATCCGCTCTGAAATGCTTACAAAGCAAGAATTGAGGGACTAACTTACAAATACTGTAGCAACTCCACAATATATAGATAAAATGAAAGAGGATCTTACTAAAATAATCGACATGATGAATGTGAGAGTCACTGAAATTGACAACTCAAGAAAGATTTTGTATAATGATCTTGGATTTATTAAGGGAGTACTTTAGGAAAAATGCGAATCAAAAGATCTAAGGATGATAGAAAAAAAATTAGGTGACTTTGCACCTTGGGAATCAGTCAGGAGTGTCTACAAAGAACTGAGTTTTTATCTTAAAAAAGACGATTTTGAATTAAATAAATCAGAGGTTCAAGGGCATTTAAGAAAGATAGAGAAGCAATAGGATTTGCTGATTTCAAAGCAAGAGGCTATGAGAGAAATAGCTGCATTAAGAGGATAAGTTTATTAAGATCTTGATAAGTATTCTAAAATGAAGGAATGCTAGCAGGATAGAACAGAGAACAGCAAGCAGTTCAACAAAATCAAAGATGAGCATAGTGATTTTAGGAAGCATTTTTCTAAATAGGAACTTGAAATAAATGTCCTTAAGAAAACTCTAGAGAATAAAGTCAATGAAGAAGTGGTAGTTCACTTAAGGGAAGAGTTAGATTAGTTTGTTCTAGAGGATGACTTTAACAAACTTGAGAACAAGGTCATTCCAAAGATTCTGGAATTTCAAAGTAAAATTAATGACTATACTGAATAGGCTGAAACTCATAATGAAATTATTAGAAGATATGATGAAATATTAAGTGAAAAAGCTTCTAGGTGGGCTTTGACAGAGCTTAGGAATGAAATAATAGGCAACTATGCTAAGACATCGCAAACTAATGAATACTAAAAAGCTATAGATGGATTAAGAATCATTATCGACTCAAATTAAAAAGATAACGAAGATCACTTTGATAGTCTAAATAAATCTCTGACTTAAGAGATAATTAGTGCAGTAAGAAAAGCTTAAAAACATGCTTAAGCTACAAGTGGTCCTCTGGGAAATGGTATGGAAATGAGTGAAATTAGGCATTTGATAAATCTCAAAGCTAATGCCTCAGAAATGCATCAACTATTGGAAATGAAATCTAATAAGATCGATACAGAGCAGGTAATGAACAGCTAGCAAGTCCTTTCAAGATAGCTAAAACATGTATTAGTATTGATAATGGAAAATATGAGATTGACACTAAATGATAATATGGATTCGAAGTTACACCAAGATAGTAAACAAAGGTTTTTAATGAAATAGTTTAGATCCCTTGCAAAATGGGTTTTAAGGTTTGATCCAGTAATGGCTAACTGTATGATGGGCCAAACAGATGGAGAAGAGATTGAGTATATGCTGTAAGAAGAAAATAAGGTATTGCAAGATTTTACAGATTAGGTGATTCGGGAGTAAGTTTTAAGCCAAAGACAATTGCCCTAACAATTAAAGTTGCTCAGCTAAAGAAGAAGCAGGGAATAAAATAATCAGAGTATCAACTAATCAATAGTAATACCTAGTTTCACTGATTAAAAGTAACCAAGAGTATTCAGAAATAGAAGAGTCTCCAATTAGCCAGTGGCTGCTAGCGTATCAATTAACAGAAGTATGGCAGGAACCTAATATACAGAATTGACTGAGAGAACTAATGAAAGTTTATCGAAGCAATATAACGGCCATTACATGGAATCCGAAAAGATTGGCACTAAGAATAGTAAGCTTTTAGACCATAAAAAGTTGAGTAACAAGTTTCCTCAGAGACTTGATAAAATATTTGTAGCTAATAAGGGCAAAATGACGTAAGTCGAAAATTACTTAATTCATTTTATAGTGCACCAACGAGTCCTTTGACAGTGAATGATAGATATAAAGTGCAACACAGAAATAATGCTGGTTTGTAAACATAATCACCTGAGAATATTCTTATGGAGTAGAACTATCCTAATAGTGCCTAAAAGAGCTTTCTTGATAACTCTGCAAGAAAGGAAAATATCAAAGATCTAAAACTAACCATTCAGATAGACTAAACTTGAGAATAATGAGTACCGAGTTTGGTTTTCTTATAAATATGATTTTCTTAACCTTCAATTTTAAATTTAATGAAATTCTGAAATTAATCTTAAGTTAATCTTAAATGATAATAAGTTTAAATTCTCAGTGTTTCAACTTCATTGGACTGACAACTCCTGTTTGAATCTTCTTTTCATGAATGACCATTTGCTAGTTCATAGATTCAAGAGCTTTTTCTTGCATCTCAAGATCTCTTATGATCTTTTTTAGCTTCATCTTTAGATTGAGATAAGTTTTGTTCTTTTCATTCTTGTCTTGAGGATCAACCTCGATTTCATCCTGCTTTTTATCCTTCATTTTCTTAGCTTTCTCCTCATCGTCGAATTCATAAAGAGCCAGGATTTTTCTCTTTACCTCCATTTTTTGAACTGGACCTCCCTTCTTAAGCTCTTTTAACAGATCACTCAGCTTTGGCTTTGACTTTTGGATTCTGAGTTCTTGGATTCTTCTCATTACAGCCAATTTAAATATAATCATTCTTCTGATTCTATCTGGAGTTGTTGCCTTAGGATCAATTATATTGACTTTGGGAACCTTCAAAATATAGTCAATAGGAAATTGTTTTCCTGAATTCAATACCACATGCTGATATGAGAGGAATTTCTTTTCGAAAATAGGGGAATCTGCAAGAACTCTGTTTACATCTTCCATTGAGAGTTCGAGAATGATCGAAGTTCTTGCTGCTCTTGCATATACTTACGCCGTCTCTTCTAGGACAAATGTTCTTTAATTTATCAATGATCCTCTCATTAATTTTTCAATAATAAATTCATTATTCTCAAAATGAGTCTATAAAGTTTAATGTTGATTCAATTTACATAAATATCTACAATTCCATCCTAGACTATTCTTAAATGCTGAATTTCTTCTTGTGGCTTGAAAATAACAGCACCTTTATCCAATACTCTTTTATTAAAGGAATAAATGAGTCTATGGAAGGCCCAGTCTTCAATGTCTACGAATATGGGGATATTCCTCATGGTTTTGGATAACCAAAATTTGTGTTTATCTGTATAATTGTAGGTAAACCTCTTGAATTCTTCTTCTACTTCTGGAATTTCAGATAAAAGCAGCCTATGTGATTATAATATATATGATAGATTTACTTGTAATTGTCAGGTGAAAGTTTAGCGTAGGTGCAGTAATTATTTGACATGATAGATGCTGTTCTAGGACAACCGTAAATCATGCTTATTTCTCCAAAATGATCTCCTTCTGTGAGTTGAGCGAAGTTGCGATACTCTTTCTTTTAAGTATCCTTTATTGTAACATAGTTATCACCCTTAGCAATGAAATAGATATCCTGACTGAAATCTCCTTGCTTGATAATAATATCTTCAGGGCCGTTCAGCTAAATCTACAGTTTTCTGACGACAATTGATACAAGATCAGTACCCTAACCATTGTTAATTTAATCGTTTCTTGGGTCTGGATTAGCTAATGGACCTTGATCTCCGATTTTGATTTTGCTGAAAACTGGGTTCTTTCTAATAACTTTCTCGAATATCTACCAGCTGACTTTGAGCTTTAGAGAGGGACTAATTAATCCTAAGAATTTATCCAATTCTTATTGCTGATCTAGTGTGCTTTGGGTAGACACGAGATAATCTCTAATTTCTGTTGATAGATCAGGAGGCAATCTAATGTTCTTCATTGCAGTGTTTGCACTATCAATCTATTCCTAAAATTGCTGATTTTTTCTTTTTATCATTTAAACTAGAACAGCCATTTCTCCGAAGATATTTGCACTTATCAGTGCTCCACAAAGGATGTATAAAGCACAGAGAAAATTTTCAAAGTCAGTTCTTGGGCCCATTTCATTACCAGTTAGCAGGAGGACAGAATAATGCATAGTTGTAAAGTATTGCTTTTCTAAATCGGCAACAAAAACATCAGTCTGCAATGTGCCGAATTCAATAGCAGGAATCCAAATTTCATAGAATCTAGCTTCAAAGAACCACAGACATGTACAAAGATGGAAATAAAAAATGAGTAGAAAGGTTAATTAGCAAACTCTAACAAACTATTTAAGTAATTTTATAATCAAATGATGTTACAGCTTTAATATCTTCTCTTAGATCCAGCTTTTAAATTAGATTGCTAAGCCTAGTAATTCTGACTAATTTTAGCATACCAATAACATCCAAATATTTGAAATCACCCTAAATATGTATAAAAAATCAATCTGATATTTACCGGTATCAAAGCATTCAATGGTAAGATAGACAAAACATCAACAAAGAATGTTCCGTGGAGCATATATTTACGAGCTATAAGTTTCTTGTCCATTACCTCTTCTCCTTCTTAAGTCATAAATGTTGTTCTCAAGTTTAGAATGATATCAATATAGAAAATCAGATCGATAAGTGAATTAATGACTTCAATAACATAGTTGACTGGAGGAGTAAAGGATATTTCAAATGGTATGTAAAAGCAGTTGTAAATTGTTAAAATGATTACAAAGACATCCCATCTGGTTCTTCTAGTATCATTAAAGCTAACCATGAACTCAGGTACTATTTTTACTATCTCCTTGGTCCTTTTGTTTAAGTACCTCTTCTTTTGGATGAACGTTTCTTATTTTTGAATATCCTCCAAATTGGATTTGATATTTCTTGCGATTAGATACTCAATTTTCTTTGCAGATTCTTTGCCAGTGGCTTCCTATTTATATTTGTTTCTCTGCTACTTGATACCTTCCGCCATTTATTGCATTTCTTCTCTCTCTTTAATCTGAACATCCCCTGCTTAGAATTCAACCATAAGTTTTTAAAGTTATTCAAGAGTCTGATCCTGATCTGTATTATCATTTAATTTCTATGGGTGCTCTTGCATTAACTGTCTTTACAACGTCTACTTTATGATATGAATAGTCTTAGACTCTTTTTTTAGGCTCTTGCTTTATCCAACTTTAGTATAAGACTTAAAATTTAATTTGGCAACTTACCAACGTGAGACGAGGCAACATTTTCATGATCGGTATTGTTCTTTTTCAACTTAGGTGATTCGATCTCACTCATATCTGTCATCTTTTTTGAAGTCATAGCCATAGTCTTATTTTTCTAAGGACCTCTCATTTGACGTTTTGTCTCTTCTTAGTCTGAGTCAAAACCTGCTTCTTCTTCTTGTTTGAAACTCTAAAGATGTAAAAACTAGCTGAATTTATACCAGATTATTTGCTGAAAAGCTCAAATTTTTCGGTTTAGAGTTCTAACCCTGCATTACTAGCTAAGTTAATAATTATATATAGATCTTTTAACTAGATTATTCAAATTGCTTGTCTAACTTACGGGATAATTATACTGACGGGGTTTTGGGGTTTTGGGGTTT